CCGAAATGTGGCAGAACATTCCGTGCCTGTATCGGCCTTATCAGCCATTTGCGGACACACTGTGGACAGTCCACAACCCGTTAGATGTCAAGGTCCTCTTCGAATACGATGGACGAACAACAACAACAACAATAGTAATTGTGGCTTGCACAAAGATAATCACACTGATAGCTCAGTGGTGATCCTTGGTGGGAACATCTGCCCTTGAAAACATATACAACCTCTTAATGCCCTAGGATTGCAGATACAAGGTCAGAGTCACTTTTATTGCTAGTCCAAGCTGGTACAATTCCATTGAAATTTGAGGAATCTCCAGGCTGAGATCAGCCTTTGGTTTCTATTTTCACCTCTCTCCAGGAGTGTAACTGAGATCAGCCTTTGGTTTCTATTTTCACCTCCAAAACGCAGCCAGACCTAAGGTGGATGTCATCTGCTGCTTAACAACACGACATACAGTAGCTTCAGGCTTAAGTTTAGGCGTGACAGTGAGGAACACAACCTTCCAAATGAAATTGCAAGAGGAAATGTAAGGTAGCAGAATCTAATGGCCATGACCAGGAAAATGGAAGGTGCTTATCAAATTATGAACATTCTGTTACTGCTGGCCTTGTGTTACAGTTGGATTGGTTATGATAAAAATGATGGGAAAATCAGCAACTTTGCAGTAAGTTTTTGTGGGTGTCATTTCTCACAGAGATGGCTTGTCTTGCATTTCTCAGAGTTTTGGATTCAGAAATCCCAAAGAAAGACAAAGCAAAGTCTGGTATGGTAATTATCCAATCTTACCATATTTTATCCCATCTATGATTAACTCTGACTTGGCTGGTTTCCATCTGAAAGCAGAAAAAAGCCTGTGCTTGCTGTCAGCCGATGGTCAGGGCAATGCGTGGTGTGTGTTATATACCCAAGTCTTCAACTGCTAGAACGACAGGTGCCCCGAGAAGTTTTACGTCTGTGTCTTTAGCCGCTAGGACCGAGGTCCCTTCGCAGCGGGCAGCCAATAGACTGACAGATGCCCCAAAGTTTGCAGGGAGAGCTTATTACACCTGTGTCTTTAGCTGCTAGGACCGGGGTCCCTCCGCAGCGGGCAGCCTATGGAAGGCTGACGGATGCCCTTATGGATCTGTCCCCTGGAGGCAACACGATCCAAAATGCTCAGCTCTGCCTGTGCCTGCCCCTGTGACCAGCTGGAGTTCTTTTAAATTGTGTTTGGTTCTGTTACAGCAACTGAAGGAGTCAGGTTAAAGCTTAAACAGTTACAGGTTTATTAAAGAAGCTTATAAATCATATGGTTACAATGGCTATTGCTCTATTTCTTAACTATTAGCAAAATATAGGTCTTAAAAATGGTTACAAAGAAGATAAAGATAGAAAAATAGAAATAATGGTACCAAGTAACAGCTTACTCTTTCTATGTGTACACTTAAGACAGAGGACCACATCCAGGTACAATTTTTACCCCCTTCTGTGCCTCTCGACTCCAGCATGTCAGGCCAGGGCCGGTCCCTCAATTCCTAGGAAAGACGAAAATACGAGGTGGGCGTCCCCATAGAACCTCGGGAGGTCAAACACCTAACCCGACCAGCAGGTAGAGGGTAGAATGACACTCAAAGTGAGTGTGTGCTGGGCCCATCTTTTATAATCATGAGGTCACGTATTTCTCTTTCTTATCTGTAATGCCAATTGGTGCTGGTCTGTCTGCTGTGAGACCAGTTCTTACAAGGGAGTTGTGAACTTAATTTACACTTGTAAGAGAGAATTGAGATGATTAAATTGGAAGTACGGGACATTGTTTTCTCAGTGGGAAATTCCTCTCAGGGACTGTGTGTGTGTTCGAATCAACATAGGGGCCAGCCGATTCTCGCAGCCTCAATCAGCGATTAGCTCGATCACCCTCATATCTCTGCTTGAGCCTCAAGGTCAGCGATTAGCTCGACCACCCTCATATCTCTGCTTACAGTTGTCCAGGGTCACTGTGAGCTGGCATATCCGGGCCTCCTGTCAAGGCTTCAAAGACTATGCTGATTTTACTGCTCTGTGTGCCCTGTATGCTCCAGGCATCTCAGAGAGGGGCAAGCAAGATGGATGTTACGGGTGGTGGTTCCTGTCTGGCTACACTTGCCTAAGGCTAATCTGAACCAGGTGAGCATGCTCTCAGTTTTAATCCCAGCTCCACCATAGCCAAAGTGTGTTTCTCTGTGCCTCAGTTCCCAAGCTGTTGAATGGGATGAACAAGATTGACCTGCCTAGCAGGAGAGGTTGTAAGACTAAATTCATGTGTGGTTGTAAAGCACGTGGAACTTCCCAGTGCAGGTTGGCACTGAATATGGAAATATAATGTCCAGGTTGCATTGAATATGGAAATATAATGTCCAGGTTGGATAGGCATGGCATGGCATGGCAGGCTGCTTCTTATCCAGCTAGCACAAAGAAAACAGCAATATAGTCATGGGCCGGCAGTGTGTCCAGCAGGCTACAATAACTGCCCCCAAGCACAAGCCTGTCTAAAACCCTAGGATCTGTACAGAGAGCTAGCTAAGGCCATTGCCCAAGCAGCTATGGCTACACTGCTTTTTTTAGCCTGCTAGTTGAATGAGAACTAGCCTGGATACCTCTGTATACCACCAGAGTGGATATACCTTCAGCTGACATGGGCTATAAATGGCCAAACCAATGGTGGGAGGAGGGCAAAGCACTAGTGCCTATGGAAAATTTCACAAAGGCTGTGACTTGGATGGTTGAAAGCTAATGAGCATCTTCCCATTCCAGTACACTGGGAATGGCAGTGTTGGCTGTGCTGACAGGGCAAACTTGACTGACCGTGCTAACTTTCCTGACACCAAAGATTGGGATTGCTTGAAACATCTGGATTCTTTTGCCACTTCCCTGCATGGCACTTGGGGCCATGTCTCAGGGGTCTACAGGCCAGGGGACCTGCATGGACATTCATTTTGCATGTTGGACTACTTTGTCCTGAACACTAAAGGAATTTGATCACAAAGGCTCCTTTTATGTCCAGCACCCTTCAGCTACCTAGCATGGTTGCATCTTCCATTGCATTGGTCAGAAGCAAAGCCTGTGTAAGCTCCCTGAAGCTTCCATGCCGTTGTCACACACTATACTTCAAAATAGATTCCTTTTATTGCCATATTCAGCACTGTCATACATTTGTGATACATCATACAAAGCAAACTATGTAAAATAGCATATGAAATGTCATGATCTGCTAGAACCCGTCATGTCCAAATATTTATAGCATTAGTGATCATACAGTTATGAGATGTTTGCTGCATGCTTGTTATTGAAATATGTAGAGCCCTGCAAATCTGCGACTATCCACAGGTGTCCACAGCCACAGATATGGATGCGAATATCAACAACTCATTTTTGCAGATGTGGATGCGTATACTAATTTTTTTATCCATGCAGGGCTCTAGAAATATGCTGTACATTTGCTAGTGACATACAAAGGATCCCCACAACCATTAATTAGCAGGGGAGTTGTACTCAAGGGATTTACAGTTCAGTGACAGTTCCCTAATCACACACAATGGTGGTTTTGTGCAGGGCCATCCTTATAATTTATGGGGCCCTGTGCAACTGAGGCAACCTCTCACCCCTGTGTGGTTGATGCCTAGTCTTCCCTCCCTTCCCCCACATGGCTCCTGCCCGAGTTCACGGCTTCTTCCCCTTCCCACATATGGCTTCTGCTGTTGGCAGGAGAGAGCAGCCAAGGGGAGGGGCTGTAGAGGAACAAGGCAGTAGAGATGATCAGGTCTGTCCTTAAGCATACAAGCACACATGGCTGCAGAGGGCACTCAAAAATGTGGTGCACCAAATTTTCAGTTGCCCTACGCAGCTGCATATTTTGCATATGCCTAAGCCCAGCCCTGGTTTTGTGACTTATGAAAGCCCACTTCTGCACATGTGGATTGAGAGTGTAAAATAAGGAATTTTTGTAGCATGTTTTGGCCTTTCTCCTTCCTAGGGTTGCCAGATGGTTTCAACAAAAATACTGGACACACTTAATATTACATCACAATCTACATTACAGCTTATTTAGAAAATACCAGACATTTATATTTTCTCAATTTGTTTCCCAAACAGAAAGTTCAAATACTGGACTGTTCAGTTCAAAACAGGACACCTGGCTACCCTACTCCTTCCCTCCCTGCCCATGCTGGAAGCAACAGGCACACAAAGATGACAGTCATCTGAGGAGACTGGCCAAGGCTTAAGGAAAAGCCTGTGTAGTAAGAACTATAACTTCCAGTGGGGAGAGAAAAATCACTGCTCTATATATTGAATAGTGTAATAGGGTTTAAGATTTAGATTGTGCATTTAATTTTTTATTTTCTATGGTAACTTTCTCTGATATTCATGCCTGTCACTTAAAATCTATCTTTCTGTAACACATAAATCTGTTTAAAATAGTGCAATTTTATTGAAGTGTTTGGAAAATCTCCACTCAGTTACAAAGGCTTGTGCATAAGAGCATAAGAACGGCCAGACTGGATCAGACCAAATGTCCATCTAGCTCAGTATCCTGTCTGCTGACAGTGGCCAATACCAGATGCCCCAGAGGGAGGGATCACAATCGGTAATCCCCATGGCTGTGTCTAGACTGGCATGATTTCCCGGAAATGCTTTTAACGGAAAAGTTTTCTGTTAAAAGCATTTTCGGAAAAGAGCGTTTAGATTGGCACGGACTCTTTTCCACAAAAGCACTTTTCCGCAAAAAAGCCCCGATCGCCATTTTCGCGATCAGGGCTTTTTTGCGGAAAACAAATCTGAGCTGTCTACACTGGCCCTTTTGCACAAAAGGACTTTTGCCTGAACGGGAGCAGCATAGTATTTCCGCAAAAAGCACTGATTTCTTACAGTAGGAAGTCAGTGCTTTTGTGGAAATTCAAGTAGCCAGTGTAGACAGCTGGCAAGTTCTTCCGGAAAAGCGGCTGCTTTTCCGGAGAAACTGGCCAGTCTAGACACAGCCTCAGTGATCCTCCCCGTCACCCACTTCCAGAGAAACAGATGCTAAGGATACCATTCCTACCCATCCTAGCTAATAGCCATTGAGCAGGTCCTCACCACATTTGGGGAGGGGGCGGGGTCAGTTCAGGTAATAACTTCACATTAGTCCGGTTTGTGACCAGAGCAAGATGATACAGCTCTGAGGTTCAAAATTGGGGAGAAGTAGCTGGAGCCTCTGTTAGCTCATGACTAGTCAAGAAAAACAGTCATGTAACTCAGCTGGGTGGTGTTTGCTTGTGGATGTCTGGGTAAGTGCAGGACCTGCAGAGATTTGCAGCTTGGCAGGGTATTACAGTGTGAGAGCAGCCCAGTCTGATAGGTCAGAAGGCTCAGCACTGTGCGAGTTCCAGGTTGCAGCTTGGGGATCCCAATAGCCCCACCACCAAAACCCATTCGTTTCTCCTTGAGCCTGATTTTTATATGTAGAGACAAAGTTGCACAAGGACATAAATCATATGGTACAGATTGCCCCAAGCACCAGAGACAGCTCTCCAGCTGGCTCAAGATGGGTGGATGGCTCCATCACCCTTTGGGCTAGCTTGTCACAGAACCACTGGAGAGACGTAGCTTCTGTTCCTTTCATGGCTGGGTATCTAGGGCCCGTAATGTGATGTGTATTGGTTTGTCTGGGATCAGGATGAGGTCAAACTTGGTACCAATATCCACTCCTCTTTTGGTTTCTATCTTGAAGTTCTCCAGCATCTGGGAATAGAACAAAGAAGACAATGAAAATCTATCAGAGATGCAAACTCATCTTTATTAATCCAATAAGGCAAATGGAAGGGAAGGTCTCATTGCACTGTGGCTGCAGTCAGATGCTTTGCAAGCTTCCCTTAGTAGATGGCTTTGTCAATGCCCTCACTTGTGACCTGCACTAGAAGCTCCCTTGGGTTGAGCAAGATACTGACCTCTCAAAGAAAATAACACTTGCACTTTGGGCCATTTTTTCCAAACTGTGGCACAATAATTTCTTGCTATCAGCCACTATCACCCTCTGGAAGATGCAGAGTTGACTACTGCAGTACAGGAAATTTGCAGGCTGAGCAAGGTGTATGGCATTACTTCTCACCACCCTACACAAAGAAGGATTTTAAGTGACTTAGGTGGATGCCTCTGATAACCAGAGGAAATGAAGTGAGATGTCTAGGAAGATGGCAGCATGGAAAAGCTCCAATATCAAGTCGGATGGAAATACTCTTATCCCTAGTCTTTAAAATGTCCTTGTATTCACTGTATGAGATGATGTTTGTTCTCCTTTTATGCATGCAGGAGTTGATGTGCACACCCAAAAATGTTGCTGATTTGGGGAGGATTTTGTATGGCTGAAGTTTTGCTTTTTTCATGAAATTAAAGAAAACTGGCAAAAATCCTCTACGATCTGCCATAAAACAAGCTATGTGATTGTGAAGCCACCTTGCACTGGGGAAAGGGTCTCAGCAGCTAGAGGGAAATTTATGATGTTGGCTAACGTTTGGGGGATCATTTTAAAATGCCTATTGAAATATTATTACAGTATTATTTTTTTTACAATTTTTAGTTTATAGTTGTCTTCATAGATGGGTGGGTGCTCACCTGTTAACATTACTCCATTGCCACAAAAGGCAGAACCTATGTAAGCAGGGCTAAGTCTACACTACAAAGAAAAGCCGAAAAAAATATGCAAATTGTGCTTCACAATTTGCAAATCTTTTTCCACTTTTCTTCCGAAAGTGGCTTTTCCAACATTTGGCCCACCTACATGGGGCCAAATGTCGGGGGGAAAATCCTCTTTCAGAACATTCCTTCTTCCTCGTAAAACGAGGTTTACAGGGATGCCGACAAAACACATCTGCTTTTCTGACATTTTGATAACCCAGAAAAGCTCTGTAGTCTAGCCGTACCCCAGGAGATGCTCTACTACCAACATAGCATGGTGTATACACAGCTGTAAGTTACATCATGGGATGGGGGAGAGGGTAGAGAAGAGATTCATTGGCTTAAGCAGGAGTGTAAACAAGTCCTAAATTCTTTGTTTTCTCCGGTGTATCTCTATATTTCAGCTTCTTTAATGCATTTACCCTTATACAACCCTGGGAAGCAGGGCACTGTTGTTGTTCCTACTGCACAGAGTGACTAAGTGACTTCCCCAAGGTCATGCAGGCATCCTGTGCCAGGGCAGAGACTTGAGTCTGAATCTGTGGTGTCTCGGGCTAGCACCCAACCCACCAGATCTGACTTCTTTGCAACATGTTCATTAGCTGCAGAACTCAAAGCACATTATAAAGGAAGGCAACTATTACGAGCTCCATTTTAGAGATGGGAAAACTGAGACATAGTGGTCCAGAGTCTCAATGGCATTTAGGCACCATTGAAATAACTGGGTGTTAGGTGTTTTGGATCTGGGGCAGAGAGATGAAGTGAATATACATGAACACTGAAAGCTTGGCCTAGATACCAGGGTTTGGAAACCAATGCTACTTCCAGGGCAAAGAAAGACACTCTCCTCCAATTTGGACTGGATCAGGAAAGCCAAAGCACGGTTGGAGTTGCAGTTAGCAAAGGATTTGAAGGCTAACAAGAAGGGTTTCTACAGGTATGTTAGCAATAGGAAGGTGTTTGGGGAAAGTGTGGGACCCTTATCAAATGAGGCAGGCCAACCTACTGACAGATAAAGTGAAAAAAGCTGAAGTTCTCAATACTTTTTTTTGCATGTCTTTAAAAATAGCTCCCAGACTGCTGCACCGCGCAGCACAGTATAGGGAGGAGGTGAGTGGCCCCCCGTGATAAAGAACAGGTTAAGGACTCTTTAGAAAAGCTGGACATGCACAAGTCCATGGAGCTGGATTGACTACATCTGAGGATACTGAGGGAGTTGGCTGATGTGATTGCAGAGCCATTGGTCATTATCTTTGAAATCTCATGGCAATTGAGGGAGATCCTGGATGATTGGGGGGGAAAGGTAAATGCCCATCTTTTTAAAAAAGGCAAGGAACTACAGAAGGGTCAGCCTCACCTTAGTCCCTGGAAAAATCATGGAGCAGGTCCTCAAAAATGCATTTTGAAACATTTGAAGGAGAGGAAGGTGATCAGTCAACATGGATTTACCAAGGGCAAACCATGCCTGACCAACCTAATTGGATACGATAAGCCTTGACTGTAGCAAAGGTTTTGATAGTCTACCACAACATTCTTGCCAGCAAGTTAAATATGGCTTGGATGCATGCACTATAAGGTGCATAGAAAGGTGGACTATAAGGTGACTAGTCCACCTTTCTATCCACCTTAAAGTCCATGGACTTATAGTTTGGGCTCCACGGGTGGCAATAGATGGCTTGATGTCTAGTTGGCAGTTGGTATCAAGCGGTATGCCCCAGGGGTTGATTTTGTTTAGCATCTTCATTAATGATCTGGATGATGAGATGGAATGCATCCTCAGCAAGTTCACAGATGACACTAAGCTGAGGGGAGAGTTAATTACACGGGTGGATAGATATAAGGTCCAGAGTGACCTAGACAAATTGGAGGACTGGGACAAAAGAAACCTGATGAGATTTAATGAGGATAAAGGAAGAATCCTGCACTTAAAGCAAAAAAATCCATGCACTGCTACAGGATGGGGACTGACTGTCTAAGCAGCAGTTCTTCAGAAAAAGACCTGGGGATTATAGTAGATGAGAAGCTGAATATGAGTCAACAGTGTGCCCTTGTATCCAAGAAGGCTAACAGTATATTGGGCCAGCAGATCAAGAGAAGTGATTACTACCCTCTATTCGGCACAGAAGAGGCCACATCTGGAGTACTGCATCTAGTTTTGGGTCTCCCACTATAGAAAGGATGTGGACAAAATGGAAAGAGTCCAGCAAAGGGCAATGAAAATGATTAGAAGGCTGGGGCACATGACTTATGAGTAGAGGCTGAGGAAACTGGGCTTATTTAGTCTGCAGAAGAGAAGAGTGAGGGGTGATTTGATAGCAGCCTTCAACTTCCTGAAGGGGTGTTCCCAAAAGAACGGAGCCATGCTGTTCTCAGTAGTTCAGGATGACAGAATGAGAAGCAGTGGTCTCGAGTTGCAGTGAGGAGAGTCTATGTTGGATATTAGGGGATAAGCTATTTCACTAGAAGGGTGGTGAAACACTGGAATGAGTTGCTTAGGGAGGTGGTGGAATCGCTATCCTTAGGAATTTTAAGGCCTGGCTTGACAAAGCCCTGGCTGCAATGATTTAGTTGGGATTGGTCCTGCTTTGAGCTAGGGGTTGAATTAGATTACCTGTAGTCTCTTCCCACCCTGATCTTGTATGATGGTATGTTGGTGGGATCTGGGCTTATGGCTTTGGTTCTGCCATGCCCATGCTTGAACACCCCTTTGTAAAGCTGGGTTTCCAATTGCTGGTAGTGGATCTCACAGCCATGCTAACATATCCACGCTATGTTACACAGACTGTCTGGCTCGGGTGCTGTTGCATCCACACTGCAATATGACAAGGCTTGAGTAGAACTCAAACTCATCCCTACCCATCCAGCAAGATCCTAGAAACAGGGTCTTGAATGCTTGCTGCCCAGAGTCAGACTGATTTGTGTGTGGATGGGAGTGGTGGGGGGGGGCTTGGGCTACAAATGAATTCAGAGCTCAGCTTCGTGTGTAATGTGGGCGCACACTCAGCACCCAGTGAAGCGCAGAAAGGGTACTGCAGGCAGCTTGCTGACACATGCACCTTCCCTGTGATTTTTCAACCTCTTTGGTGTGAATCATCTGCCATACAAGGCTCATTCCCCTTGTACAAGCCGCACAGGCAGCCGAGTGCCTCGCCCTCTGCTTCTGCTACCAAATAGACCTCTATGTTCCTCCGGTTCTTATGCAGATGTCCACACCCCTTGTCTGGCATTGGCCAGGAAGGGGCTTTGTTAGTTCTGTGACCTTGCCAGGGGAGGAAGGTATCAGACTCACATGGACTAGGAAAAGCTGCATCTCCAGCTCTGCAATCCTGCGGCCGAGGCATTGGCGTGGCCCGAAGCCAAAGCTCAGCCCCCTGAAGTATGTGGAGTCCATCTTCAGCCATCTCGCAGGATTAAACAGCTCTGGCTTGGTGAAGAACTTGGGATCCCGGCCCATGGCATAAATTCCAACCTGCACTAGGGACTGTAAGGGAGAAGGAGAATCAATGACTTGCTAGTAGCTCTTCCAGCTGGTGCCCGTCACAGAGGCTGTGCCAGACATCAGTCATGATAGGAGAGTGATTTCAGTCACAATGGTGGAAAAACGTCTCCCCTTAACCAGGTGTGAATCCGCACAAGCATAGATCCACACACAGGCCCAATGGGAAGCCTTCCCCTCAGGGTGGGTGAGATGTTTCACTGACTTTAATGGCTTGCTCCATCAGGAGATTTCTTCTGTAAGAGATGTGCAGCAGGGTGAGGTACTTTTCTCTGTCTAACTGACAATGGTTTCAGAGCCTTTCTGCTCTAGGCCAGTCAAATGTTTATTTCCCGTTTTCTTTGGCCCCATCTAATCTCCTCTTCCACAAACATAAGAAAGGCCACATTGGGTCAGACCAATGGTCCACCTAGCCCAGTATCCTGTCTGCTAACAATGGCCAATGCCAGGTGCCCAGAGGGAGGGATCACAACCCACCTCCAGACAAACAGAGGCTAGGGACACCATTCCTACCCATCCTGACTAATAACCATTAATGGACCTACCCTCCATTAATCTATCTAGCTCTTTTTTTAACCCTGTTAAAGTCCGAGCCTTCACCACATCCTCTGGCAAGGAGTTCCACACGTTGACTGCACTGCGTGAAGAAAAACTTCCTTTTGTTTGTTTTAAACCTGCTGCCTATTAATTTATTTTGGTGACTCTTAGTTCTTATATTGTGTCAATAAGTAAATAACTTTTCCTTATTCACTTTTTCCACACCGGTCATGATTTTATAGACCTCTATCATATCCCCCCTTAGTCTCCTGTTTTCTAAACTGAAATGTCCCAGTATTTTAATCTCTCTGCATATGGGACCCATTCCAAACCCCTAATCATTTTTGTTGCCCTTTTCTGAACCTTTTTCAATGCCAATATATCTTTTTTTTTTTTTTTTTTTGAGATGAGGTGACCACATCTGTACGCAGTATTCAAGATGTGGGTGTACCATGGTTTTACATAGAGGCAATAAGATATTTTCTGTCTTATTCTCTATCCCTTTTTTAATGACTCCTAACAATCTATTTGCTTTTTTGCCTGCCACTGCACACTGAGTGGATGTTTTCAGAGAACTAGCCACAATGATGCCAAATATCTCTCTTGGGTAGATGTAGCTAAATTAGTCCCCATCATATCGTATGTCCAGTTGGGATTATTTTTCCCACGTGCATTACTTTACAGTTACCAGCATTAAATTTAATTTGCCATTTTGTTGCCCAGTCCCTTAGTTTGGTGAGATCTTTTTGAAGCTAATGTGTCCCTGCCCTGGCCTCAATGACAAGCCAAGGGTGGTCTGCACTAGATCTGGCTGACACAATAGTTAAAATGGCTGGGATAGCCTATGGCTGTGCTCCCATGCTAGCCACCACCACTGAAGAGGCACCAAAAGCAGTAACAGGTAAATGTTAAGCCAAAGGACTAGTGGTGGCAAAGCCAAAGATCCACAGTTATCTATTCCCCTCCTCCACTCCTTCCCTCTGGCCCTGTCCCGGGGGAAGCTCACCTTGGCAGGGATGAAATAGTTCTGGAGGATAATCTCCTGTGTTGTGTATCTCTGTAGGGTCACTGCCACCGGATGGAGCCTGCAGGAAGAGGGTGAATCAGGGTAAACCACTTGCTTACAATCAGTATTGTCTCAATGGGCAGAGTATACAGTCAGAACTGTGCATGAGACCACCTGTCTGCCTTAGAAATAAGAGCCCTGCCCAAAGACTCCCCGTGCTATTTTGCTTCTGTTTTAATAGAGGGCCTACCTCTGTTAAATCAGGCTATTGAACTGTTGCTAGTGATGGGGTATGCAAACCCCATGCTGTCCAGGAAAGAATTAACATTAACCAGCCCTGACCTGCGGCAACTGCAAAAGTATCAGGTAAGGCTGTCAAGCAATTATAAAAAATAATTGCACTTAATTGTACAATTAAAAATATTAATCATTCATAATGTGATTAATCATACGGTTAAACAATAATTGAATACCATTTAAATATTTTTGTTTTCTATATTTTTAAATATATTGAATTCAATTATCATTATACAGAATACAAAGTTTTACCATACTCACTTTATTTTTATCTCTACTTTTAGCGTGTCTGTCTGTCTGCATCTATTTGTCTGCTTGTTCAAGAACTCCTCCTAAACCATAAAAGCTAGGGCTACCAAATTTGGTATGCAGCTTTCTGTTACCCTAACTTAAAGCAAGGTCAGGGTTTTATTGTGGCAGGAAAATGGAAAGTGCCTGAAATCCGATGGTTTTCCACAACATGGAAAGGAAGGGACAGAGAGTGCAGAGAACAGCCAAACTGTAGAGTGACCACTGGGGGCAGTTGCAGCAGGAACACAGTGGCTACCTGCAGATGGGGCTCTTCACCCTGCCGCCCTATGGAGCAGGTAAGTGCTCCTCAGCCCCCCAGCTCGAGCTGGGCCAGGAAAAGCAGCTTGGCCCCAACTCCGTAATTCTGGCTGGGGAACACAGCCCAGCACCAGCTCTAACCCTGCCCTCCTCCCCTGGAGCTCAGGCTGGGGCTCACCTCAGCCCCGGAAGACAGATGGGGGGAGCCAGAAGCCACAGCCCCCAGCGGAGTACAGGCAGGAAATCCAGGAGCCACAGCCCAACCTGCCCCTCCTCCCCAGAGCATAGGCCAGAACTGGGAACTGCAGCCTATCTTGGCCCTTCATCCTCTGTGCACAGGCTGAGACTGGGGACCACAGCCCGCTACCTGACCCCACCCCACCCACAGTAGTTGCCGGGGGAGCTGGGAACCTGAAGAGCTGGGAACCACAACCTGACCGGGAACTGCGGACTGGAGAAAATGCTGGAGCCAGGAACCATACCATGGCCTCCCCATCACCACCTCTGGAGGGGATGTCAGAGCCTGGACGAGACACCAAGGCCAAGCACTGTAGCCCTGGCCCTCCGCCCCCAAACCAGCAACACCTTTACCACTTCAGGAGACCCTGGTAAGCTCCCCATATCTCCTAGCTCCCCCTACCCTGAACCCTCTGCCCAGCTCCCCTCACCTCTACCCTGAGCCCCATCACATACCCAACCCAGTTGAAGCATCTTCTACCATCTGGCAGCTGTGGACCCATATCTGGGCAGGAAAGGTGGAGGTTGGGAACTGATGACAATGTCCTGGAAAGGAAAACTCCTTACCTGAGTGTTTCCTTGATGGCAGCTTTGAGCAGCCGAAGGGCTTTCAACATCTTCAGCTCATCGCCCTGTGCTGCCTGTCTGGCAGCAAAGATCTCTGCCCGCAGCTGCTCCTGCACCGCTGGCGCACGAGCCAGTTCAAACATGGCCCACTGGAGAGTCATGGAGGTCTAGAGCAGAGCACAGGATGGTCATGGGGATCTAGAGCAGAGCATAAGGGAAAGTCCTAGAACTCAAAACCAGCTGGGTCCTGACCCTAGGGATGCTGCTTTGTGGGTGACCCATGCATGCCATGTCACCTCTTTGCCTCAGTTTCTCTGCCTGATGAGAGGGGGTGTGTTATTTTAATGAAGTACCTTGAGATGTTGATGAAGTGTTATAGTCCAGGACTTTTAGAGGAGCCTATGGGAGTGAGGCACCCAAGTGCTAGAACTTCAGTTCCAAGCTCTCACCTGTAGCCTTTGTCTGCTCCACCTTTGAGGCGCATTTCCCTTTGCGGTAGTCACTGGAGGCACATCAGAGGGATACCAGACTAAAGATAAGCAATCAAGGAACTATGTTGAGGTTCCATCATTGCTCCTTAGTGAAATGCCAGGCCCCTGGTGATAGTGGGTGCTCCCCACTAACCCTTGTAGCATACAGCAATTACCAGCAATATTGTAATATCACCACCACCCCCTTGCCTGCAGCTCATCCTTACTGTGTCCACTCCTCCTGCCATCATCTCCGTCACATTGGCCTTGATGCAGTCGATGGGCAGCTTGTCCTGCATCAAGAGACTTGACAGGATGCCAGCATATTCCTTTGTGCTTTTCTGGTCCAGTCTGAGCTCTCGGTAGATGTTCTGGATGCACTTGTCAGCTTGGCAAGGGGAAAAGAAAGCAAAGCTGTAAATTCAGCACATAACAGTACATCTATGAGGGCCCAGCCCTCCTACCGCTCCCCATGCTCTTCAACCCACCTCTGAACCCCTGACCCATGAGTCTTCTGAAAGCGCTAATGTGCTTTTATTGAGAGTGGCTTTTAAATGGACTCTCTTAAGGAAAAGGGACTCACCGCTCTAGCCAAAAGCTGTGTGGCTTTTGACTGGAATAGAACATTCTGCTTTCCTAGACTGGCCGGCTTTGGCTGGAATCTTGTACCCAAAGAGAGTATGGGGAATCCTGCACTTCCCTGACATGATGCATCTTTCCTATAATGACCCCAAATGAAGCCATTTGATCCTTTCTGCACCACAGGAAACCCCTCCAGAGCTATCCCTGCTATCGCCCGTCTAATAGAATGTAGTAACACATCAGAGCTCTCCAGTATAGCAACAAGCAAATATCTTGCCAGAGTCACTCCTATAATCAGAAAAAGCTATTTTCTGTGCAAATCTATCCTTTTTCCTCCATGATGCTCCCACAGCTTCCCATCTGTGGCAATGTAGTACTGAGTCTGGGACCTGAGCTTGGATCTTCTGCATGGCAGCATGAATACTCTCGCTCTAGCCTTACTCTGAGTTGGGTGTGATCTATGAAGCAATGTGCATGAGCTCTCACCATGCCTGAAAATCACATCCCAGGATTGTACATGGTCCTGCCAGATCTTAGAGTTGATCCTGCGGAGCAGGGCTGGTGGGATGTAGAGCATGGGTGAGGTGGTGTGGAACATCAGAGTCACGGCATCAATGAACTTCTGTGCTTCGGGATCAATGAAATCCTGAAGGAGCCCAAGGCGCACTCCATACAGGACATTGCACACGGCTGCTGGGCAAAAGAAATAACTGTTTGTGCAAATGGATAACCTAAACCTTTCAGCATCTCCCAGAATATCACTCTGGAGAGATGTGAGACTATTGGCCACAAGCATCTTCATTTCACAGTATGTTTATATGCAGGGCTGCTAGGGCTTCTCTATTAAGGATACAGAGGCAACCATAAATATCTGGCATTTCCTACCTTCAGAGCTTGGCTTTACAACCTTAACATTCTTTTTCATGTAATTCTATCACATATAATAATCTGTACTCTCTCTTATTCCAAGGCCTTCAGTCCAGAGAGAGGCCATATCTACTTCTCTCTATGCTAGCACTAGCATACTTGTCATTATGCAGCATCAACCAATGCAATATCTAGGACCAAAATGTGGCCACCCATGGAATGCAATAGCAGTGTTTTTAGGCCAGTAGACGCAGTTTGACAATTCAGAACAAGAAGAAAGAGCAGTACATGTAACTGAGGCTACTGGGAGAGTTTGATGAGGCAGGGCAGCTCTAGCTGAAATTTGGCCAGGATTCTGGAGTCAACAACGTGAAGAATGTGGCATGTGTGGTCAGAGACAGAGTTCAGGGCCAGCTGGTATAAATGAATGCATTTCCATTGACTTCAGTGGAGCTGTGGTGACTTGAACCAGCTACAGAAGTGGTCCTGTAAATAACTTGGCCCTGCTGTGAGGACAGGGGACTGGACTTGATTATCTCTCGAGGTCCCTTCTAGTTCTTGTGTTCCACGATTCTGTATTTCATGTATAAGATGTTCAGACATAGTGGGCCGAGAAGTTCTGGATGACCCTTACATTCTAAGGGATAAGGCTAGATACTGACTAATTCTAATCCATGGGATTTGTTTCGTGCTGAAGAGAGTCTGCTGAAGCTTACTTGGGTGCTCATCCAAATAGATTTATTATGCAGAAAGGGTGGATTTTCCATCTTCTATGGGCATTCATATCCTATGGGCTCATCTAGACTATCCTGGGGTATGTCTACACTACCCTCCTAATTCGAACTAGCGGGGTAATGTAGTCATACCGCACTTGCAAATGAAGCCCGGGATTTGAATTTCCCGGGCTTCATTTGCATGAAGCCAGCCGGCGCCATTTTTAAATGCCACGGGGTTTGAACTGCTGGCATTTAAAAATGGCGCCGGCTGGCTTCATGCAAATGAAGCCCGGGAAATTCAAATCCCAGGCTTCATTTGCAAGTGCGGTATGACTACATTACCCCGCTAGTTCGAATTAGGAGGGTAGTGTAGACATACCCCTAGAGTGTTGAAAGAGGATATGCAAATTCCATAGGAATTTGCATATCTTCTTCCAATCTCACTTTTGAAAGTGGAGCTTTCAAAAGTGAAAGTAGTTTAGACACAGCTTTTTCGGCGAACTCCCCCCACCCCACCCCCTCTCAAAAAGCCACATAAACCTCATTTTTTGAAGAAGAGCAGCTTTTCAACAAAGGGGGAGGGTTCACCAAAAAAGCCGCGTCTAATACACTTTCACTTTAAAAAGCTCTGCTTTCGAAAGTGAGATTGGAAGAAGATATGCAAATTCCCACAGCGTAGTCTAGATGATCCCTATATGTCTAGTTTAGCCCCTTCTTACGTAAGGGGGCATTTGCAAAGTCACAGGAATCGGGCAGGTGGATTTAGGCTCATATCCACAAACACAGTCCCTAATTCGCTAGTGCAAATAGACTGAGCTCAGCAGGAGCTTTTCTCTGCTCCCTCCAGCCCCAGATGCCCCCACCGAGCCAATGAAAGCCGACATGCTGCCATATCATGCCAGCTCAACCTACTCACACTCCAGGGCAAAGCGGAATAGCTCATTGGTGAGGTCGGCCGTCCACCTTCCCTGGCCACTCTTCTCGATCTGGACTCGGACCCTCTTGACAAAGTCCTCACCCACCTCGTTCAACAGAGGCACAAAGCACTTGAGCAGCTGCAGGGACAGGGCCTCTTTGTTCAATATCAGGCGGTCAGAGCGCCAGGCTTCTCCCTTCCTGGGAAAAATCAAAGGAAGATCACTTATATCATTGTGTGCCCTGGGATGTCCCACCTTTCATGGTGAGGCACAGGATAAGCCCATTCCTCCCTCCACCCAGTCCCTACCCACTCTCAAATCCGCCTCATCTCTCCCATGAAGTAGACAGACAGATTTTTTCCTTCATGGCACCACTGCTCCCTGTCCAGCTGCTATGCCCTTGCTGGTCTGATCCCATTTGAATTCCTTCTCATATATTGAGTCAAATGCTCCAGGCCAGAGTCCTGGATGACAGTGCCATGGGTTCTAGCAACAGGGAAGTAAGTTATACATGGTGTGTAAGCTAGGGATCAAGGAAGACACCAGTTAGGAGTTGAGACCTGTTTCTCTATTACCAGTAACCCTACCTGACCCACTTGAGCTTTAGACAAGTCCCTAAGAATTAGGCACCACCCACTTCACTCCCCAGCTGATGCTCTGAGTGCAGAGGCATCACTATGACAATGCCCCTCTTCTCACATCATGCTACATTCCTCATATCCTAGATCACTACATTAAGGAGAGCTTTGCTATCTTTGTCTTTTGAAAGAGTTCCCTCCTTCCCCCACAATTTTCCATTCACCCTACCTTGGGAGAGTTCATTTCTTTCCTGAGTGTCTCTTTACTTGGCCTGACAAGAGGGTCAGAAGCAGCCTGGAGAAAGGGCTGTTGTATGCCCTTTTATAGCCCTTACTTACTTGAGAAGCACTCCATATGGCTTGTTGCGGAAGTCACGGTAGGCCACCCAAGGTGGCACCATGAACCTCTCTGGGTAGTTGCCCTCCGATTTAAAGAGAGTAGCAGCATCTTCAGGGTTAATTATATTCACACTCTCGTAGAAGCCGAGTTTCTCCCTGTGACATTTGACAGGGGATTAGGACATTTCCACAAGCAAAGAGCCCTGAAGAAAATCTTATTCACTGACCCTGATAAATGCTTAGTGGGGCAGGAGTTGCCTTATACGTAGCAATTCACAATGGCTAGAATCAGGATCAATAAGCATCTAAAAGTCTGCTGCTGATCAAAACGATAAGCCTAATCCAAAATTTGGAGCAGTCTTTCCACTGACACCAGTGAACTCTGGATCAAGCCCTGTATGAATTATGTACTTAATTAACCTGAAATGTCTAAAACATGCTCATTGCAGTTGCCTCTGGAAGTGTGTTGTATGTAAAAATGAGTCACTATCAAAACTCTAATGACATAAATAACATGTGTAACATGCTGTATGGGAAGCTCAAAGGATGAGCTTCTCAGCAGCATCCCAGTGATGTAGCAGCACAAATCCCATTATCTACCAACAGGACATATGATCTTAAATCACTTGACCATTCTGACTCCAGAGGATTTTAGACCAGCCCTTAACTAGTGTTTCATCCCACACAGACTGGAAACTGCACTCAGTGACTCAAGAGGTCTCTTCCCTTCTGTTTTAATACCTCTTCATTTGGTTAGTACTTGGGATTGGCATCCAGGAGAACTGACTTCTATTATTGACTCCATCTATGAGTCCAAGTCATGCCCCCTTCCCCTGCCTTCATTTACCCTTCTTTTAACAATAATATACCCCCCATCCTAGGGGTGTCATGAGGTTTGTTTAGTTACTAGTGTAGTTTAGGGTTGGTTTTGCTTGCAGTCCTTAGATAAAAGGGGTCATCACAGGAGTTGAACATGGAAATTAGTTGGTCTGGAGTTCATAGTCATTCAGTCTAAGATGGAGTAGCCCCATACAATGGGGATTCCAGCCAGTCCCACGAGAAGAGTTTTCCTTGGATTTCCACTCAGAAATTGGTCAGTTGATTTTATTTTCTGTCTTAATGTCAAATCTTGTCACAGCATCACAGTACTCCTCCTTGTGGTTTGCCAAGCTCAGCTGCTCATTTAATCTTCCTCACTTAACCCCTTTCTTGCTCTTTTCTGAGCTCCCTTCCTGTTTCCAATATCTTGCTGATATTCATGCTAAGACTCAGCTGCTCCTATCATGGAATCTGAGCCCACCATGGTCTTGGAAGTATGGGTATGGCTACACATCAAAGTTATTTTGGGATACCAGAGGCATCGCGAAACAGCTACCCCGTGTCTTCACAAGCCTCCTGTTTGCGAAATAGCTACCCCGTGTCTTCACAAGCCTCCTGTTATTTCAAAATATTTTACGGAATAACAGGCACGCTATTTCGGCATCCCGGTAACCCTCATTCCACGAGGGTTAAGGGATGATTTGAAATAGCCTATTTCAAAATAAACTCGAAATAAGTACGCAATTTGCATAGCACAAATTGCATATCTTACTTCGAGTTAAGAGTGCAGTGTAGATATAGCCTATTTGTCCTAACAAGAGGGAAATGTTATTGCCATTTCACAAATGGTGCACCAAGATAGAGAGACCAATGGCCAGATTTTGAAAGATACTTAGGCATCAGTGTGCTCAGCCTTGCAATGTTTAACTGGCTGAGGAGCCTAAATCTCATTCTCAAAAGGGATTAGGCACCTAAGAGTCTAAATCAGGGCTACTCAACACGTGGCCTGTGGGCCACATGTGCGGCCCATTTGTTTGTGGCCCACGGTGCGGTTTCAGTTTACATAGGGCTCAACACGTGGCCCACGGATGTCATCCTTTGAACATGGCCTCCACTGGGAACATGCTCCACAATGGTGAGGTAGCTCACAGGTAGGGTGAGCACTGAACGATGCAAGTGGACGGGCTGGCTGGAACAGACGGGTAGAGAGTGTGTGTGTTTCTAGCCCACTGGGAGGAGGTGCCGGGAGTGCTGGGGTATTATGGGAAGTGCTTTGTATTCATGACAGTCTGTGTGAAAGAAGCAATTTGCATATATTTGCATGTATATTTGCATGTATATGCAACCCCACTTAAGTTGCAGCCCTTGGCATGTGCTGTGAGTATCATCGTGGCCCCCAGGGCCAGGGCCAGCACACAACATTTTGTCACCTGAGGAAGGGAGCTCAAATGATGCCCCCATACTCCCTCGCTTGGGCCAAAACTTTGAAAGGTCTCAATTCTGCCTTCTTCCTGTTCTACTCCTCTCCTGGGACTGCTCTGCTACCTACATATGCACCAGCAGCAGACACAATTTACTACACTCTGGATCCTAGTGGCTCCCCTCCCCACCCCCAGTCTGATACCTGAGGCAGCTGACTCAGTTTGCTCCACCTCATGGTAAGGCCAGCCCTGACCAGGGCTTCCAAAGTTGAGTAGCCCTGATCTACTTCCTATTGGCTGTCCATGGGAGTTTGACTCCTAAGGACATAAATCCCTTCGGCTCCTAAATAAGTTGGGTTACTACAATGCTGAGCACAGCAGTACCTAAATATCTTTACAAATCTGGGCCTAAGTCAGCTTGTCATGATCATACATAAAGGAGGATCACGGGTCTCCATCATCCCAGGCTAGAATCCAAACCATTGAACCACCCTTCTTCTTCTGTCTGAAAACAAAGAGTTGCCCAGAACCGTGTTTAAAGGGTACTTGCACCAACCCAAAGTATCAATTACCCGGCAGTGCTGCATGAAGCTTTGATGTCATGTTTTAACATCTCAGGAAAAAGCACCTCTTTTGAAAATACTGACCTGTACCTCCCTATGTCTGTTTTCCCACCTGCAAAGCAGGAGTGATAAATTACCTACCTCACAGATTAAACTTCATTGTCTCCTTATGAATGGGCCTTGAAACCCTGGATTTAGTGGCGCAGCTGCTCTGGGTCTGTCACTCTGGGAGCGATCAAGGGGCAATCAGGATGAAGAAGGGTCACTCTTCCTGTCTGCACATGGCACACAGTGAAGAATTTGAGCTGATTACAGTATGGCTTTGGAGCCAGAGCCTGGGTCTGCTTAAGGCAAAAGGGATATATAGAAGAGTTGGGGTGTCAGCCAGAATAACCCTGATGCACTGGGGTGTCAGCTGTGTCACCAGTTTCAAGAAGGCAGAATCTGTTTCCCCTTCACCCCTTCATGCTGACTCACTTCCTCTAACAGGCAGAGAGCCATGGTTGTACTTTCCATTTGCCACACAATACTCTCTTTGAGAAAGCTGGCATGGGGCACTTCACTAGCCTTGCACAGATCATGCAAGAATGATCTGTAGCTGCCTCCTGAGCCAAAGTGCAAATGGCAGTTGCCCTTTAACACCCAGCCATAATCAATCTTTTAAACGACATCATCTCCCCATCCCACAGCCTTGTGTTCCATAGGGTCACTCCCCAAATGTCCTTCGTAGGGAGCTGCTAACACTTGCAACTCCAAACCAATGGGAATTGCCAGAGATGAGCACCACCCATGATCAGGCCCCAGTTACTGAGGTAACACACCTATTGCTTCCAAAGGGAACTGAGCACAACTAAAGAATAAAGGCTTTAGGATTTGGCCCATGCAAACTAAATTAGCCCCAGCTGTGTAAGAGATATAAGGCAGTGGGCAAATCCATAAGCCTATGTCTAGGGATGATTTAGGGCCCATGAGAATCTCTCATGACTAAAATAACCCTGAGGTTAGACAGATACTGGCAGAAGCACAAAACATCTTTATTAATTGTTCAACATCTTTATTAATGACCTGGATGAGGAGATGGATTGCACCCTCGGCATCCTCAAATTGGAGGGTTGAGCCAAAAGAAATCTGATGAGGTTCAACAAGGAGAAGTGCAGAGTCCTGCACTTGGGATGAAAGAATCCTAAGCACTGGTAAAGGCTGGGGTCTGACTGGCTAAGCAGTTTGGCAGAAAAGGACCTGGGGGTTACAGTGGATGAGAAGCTGAATGAGTCAACAGTGTGCCCTTGTAGCCAAGAAGGCTAATGGACCAATGGGATTCATTGATAGGAGCACTGCCAGCAGATCTAGAGATGTTATTTTTCCCGTTTATTTATGAGGCCACATCTGCAGTATTGCGTCCAATTCTGCTCCCTCCCTCTATTACCGGAAGCATGTGGATACATTGGAGGAAGTCCAGCAAAGAGTAACAAAAGTGATTAGGGTACTGGAGTACATGATTACAAGGGATATGGGCTTGTTTCGTCTACAGAAGAGAAGAGTGAGAGGGGATTTGATAGCAGCCTTTAACTAGCTGAAGGGGGGTTCCAAAGAGGATGGAGAGATGCTGTTCTCACTAATGATGGATGGCAGAATGAGAAGCAATGGTCTCAAGTTGCAGTGGGGGGTGGGTCTAGCTTGGATATTAGGAAAAACTATTTCCCTAGGAGGGTGGTGAAGCACTGGGATGGGTTCCCTAGGGAGGTGATGGAATCTCCATCCCTCGAAGGTTTTAAGTCCTGCCTTGGCAATGCCCTGGATGAGATTGATTTAGTTGGGGTTGGTCCTGCTTACGGGCAATGCCCTGGATGGGATTGATTTAGTTGGGGTTGGTCCTGCTTACGGCAGGGTGTTGGACTTAATGACTTCCTGTGGGGTCTTCCAATCTTATGATTCTATGACAGATTAAAAATATAAGGCCAGCACCTCAGCTGGTGTAAGTGGACACAGCTGCATTGCAATGTATTGAGCTCCCCTGACTTTCACTAATGTAAGATCTGGCCCATCGACTCATGGAGCAGGGATATTGAAAAGCGTGTAATTAATCAGTCAATCTATAGAGTTAGCACTGCAAGCACTCAATCCCTGCTTGTGCCCGATCTGGCAACTACCCAGCTGCAGGTCTGCATGAAAAGTAATTTATGTGCCAGTAGGCAGGCAGCCCAGCTCACGTCAGGTCCCAGGAGCTATCCCCTGCTGCCACTCTGCATGAAAAGTAATTTAGGGGCTGAGTGGACAGGCAGCCAGCTCAGTCCCAACTCGCACTGGGTCCCGGGAGCTACCCCCGCTGTAGCTCTGCAAGGAAAGTATTATTGCAGAGCTGCAGTGGGACGTAGCTCCCAAGACTCAGCACAAGCTGTGACTGAACTGGGCTGTCTGTTTGCCAGCTCCTAAATTACTGTTCGTGCAGAGTCACAGTACGGGCAGCTCCCAGGACCTGGCACAAGCCGGGACAGAGCCAGGCTGCTGGCCAGCCTTATAAAAAATTTACTGGCAGAGCTGCAGGAAGGGAGGAAGAGGGGAAAGGGGATTGCATGTAGTCGGTAGCATTAACTGGTAAGCTTTCACTTATCGGTTAATTGTTTGACTGACTACACTATTACATCTCTAGTCTGGAGACAAGTATCAGAGGGGTCGCCGTGTTAGTCTGAATCTGCAAAAGCGACGAGGAGTCCTGTGGCACCTTATAGACTAACTGAAGTGTAGGAGCAGAAGCTTTCGTGGGCAAAGACCCACTTCGTCAGATGCTAGTCTGGAGACAAGCTTGTTGTTTATAATAAAGTCCTAAAGATCCTGCCAGCCGAGGGAGTGTGATCATGGTAGCAATTAACATGTAAATGAACAATGTAAATGGCCACTTCCAGCCATGGTGTCTTTTTTGGTAAAGCTACAAATGTCTGATATGCAGAGAAAAAGGTAAATCCAGGGCCTCTTGTCTTGTTATATTAACTGGTCATTGAATTGGGCATGTGCTGCAGTGACAGAGTGAAATTACACTGGGTGTTGTTACGTGGTCACTCTGTGGGGCTTTGTATCTCTGCCCTTCCCTCTGGTGTCTCAGCTTCTAGATGTATAAGCCTACATGGGAGAGGAAGGTTGACTTTCTGGTGAAGCCACCAGCCAGCCCTAAATGTGGCCTGGACCAAACGGTATTGTAGGAACTTTCAGCCCAGAATCTCTGTACTAAACTATTAGTTTTCCAGTCTCTCCTACAGATGGCAGCTGAAATCAGGGTCTCTTTGAGCTCAACACTGTATGTTTTTTCAGGAGATGGAGGAGGAGGACTGTCTCTCAGACTTGCCCACCTCAAAACCCAAAGAAGGCAATGACTTGCCCACTATCATGCAAGAAATCAGTACTAGAGCCTAGGCTGCCTCACTCCCAATCCAGTGCCTTATCTGCTGAGCCAATGGATCTCAAACTTTTTTTCTCATGACACAGTTGAAAAAAATTGTTGATGGCGCAACCCTACATAATTTGACTCGAGCGTGAGCTCTGGGGTGGAGTGGAGGAGAAGAGCTTTGGGGTGTAGAAGGGGGCTTTGGCTTTGGGGCGCAGGGCTGGGGCCGGAAGCGCTTACCTTGAGCAACTTCCAGTCAGCAGTACAGCAGGGGTGCCAAGACAGGCTTCCTGTGCTCCTGGCACGGCAAACCCTGCTGCACCGCAGAAGCAGGTTCCAATGGGAGTGTGAAGCGAATGCTCAGGGCAGTGGCAGTGCGCAGAGCCCTGTGCTTTCTTCCCTCCCACCTAGGAGCCGGGCCTGCTGCCGACCGCTTTTGGGGTGCAGCACGGTCTGAAGTGGCAAGACCGGCAGAAAGCCTGCCTTGGTGTCTCCTCTGGTCACCTGATCCCCCTGCAGCAACGAGACCCCGTGTCTGACATTCCACCTCCCACTGTTTGGTGCCAACCCGTAGTTTGAAAATCACTGCACAAGACCATACTGCCCCTCTGCTTATACTACTGGTGTGGAGTCCCGGGGGCACAGTGAAAGCAGATCTCCAGAAGGGGCAGATGGATAGGATTCTCCCACAAGGCATTGTGAATCCATGTCTTCCAACTCCCTCTCTATTGCCCTACCTACTAGACCGCGTTACCGCAACACCCCATCTATACGCACTTGACCCCCCAATTTATTTTATGCCACTGAGCTACCCTTATCCAAGATGTGCAGAGCAGAGAGGGAGCTGCCCAAAGGGGGCCTGCATCCCAGTGTCTTACCTGTAAATGGGTCCAAACTTCTGGAACTTGTGGATCATGATGTTGTGGACGTTGTGGAAGCCACCCTCCTGCCAGAAGTGATAGAGGTTGAGCCAACCCGTTCTCCAGTTGCCTGGGAGCTCGTTGAAGGGCAGGCCCACCTTCCCTTGGAGGGAAGGAGGGTGCAGTTCACTAGCAGCTGTGTAAGCCCTGCAGTAGCCAGGGACCTGGCTGTCCTTTGTGGGGGAGAGAATCCAGAAAATGCTGGGATTGGCTAAAGCTGGCAAACGCAAGCCACCTCTGGCTAACATGGCCTAAAGGAAGGGAGAGCAAAACCAACCAGTCACCTTGTGAAGGAAAATTCCTGCAAACTGGCCCGCATTCCAAGAGCCTTGCTCTTATACTAACATGATCTCTTCAAGGATATGAACTAGCCAGTTGAATCATTGCTGCAGTCCTTGCCTCCCAATCACTTTGACAATTATAGTTGGCACTGGATGGTTAGTGCAAGCCCCGCCCAGAGGAATGCAGGAGTAATGGGGGAGCAAAACGGGGAAGACATGGCTGGCTACGCCCATGTCCTAGTGAGAAGGTTCAGAAATGCATTTCTTTGCACATGTTTAGATCTGCTAGGCTAATCCTAATCTTCGATGCCCCAATAAGCTAGTTATTTTACTTTGGAAGGTGGGGAGGAAAGGGGAAGACACAGCTCAAAGACTGTAATCCAGATCCTCAAAGACTTTCTGGTTCATAATTTCCATTTAAGTCAAATCTCTATATAATTACTGTATCACCTACCTCTTTTAATCAGCAGATCTCAAAGTACTTTACAAAGGATCATCCCCCTTTTACAAAGGAGAAAACTGAAGCCCGGGAAGGTTGATGTAATGCAGCAGCCCAGTGTCAAAGCTAGGAATAGATCCCAATCTCCTGGCTTTTCGGCCAGGACTCTCCCCACCATGAAATAGGACTCTGCCAAAGGATACTCTGCAAAGAAAAATTGAATTCACTCAAAATGTGTTCTGGATCAAGAGGAGAATTGGCTGTTTCAAAGTAGCCTGCTCTGGTGATTTTTATCCAAGCCTTGTGGCATTTGGTGTTTTTCTTAAAGCTGCAGTTCCTGGAATCTCATCTTTGGGGGGTTTTGAAGTTGCTGTGAAAGGACTGAAATTGTAAAACAAGTGCACCATGAAGTCTCAGAAAGTAGGAGGCAAAGAAAAGAAAACGTGTTGTGGTGAAACATCTTCTTTGTCTCAGCAGCATCAGCACTTCTCCTTTTGGCAAGATGGGCCTGGGGAAAACCAACTCCTGTCTGCTGCACTGGCTAGGCAGCCTTGCCCCGAACAGGCACTCTGGGCTGTCTGTTTACCCTATGGAGAAGGGCAGCCTCTCATCAGGAGGCACTTGCTCCTCTGCTGCTACTGTCGCAGTAACAGCTTGTCTCTGTCTCTCTTCTCCCTTCTCTCAACAGGGGAGGAGTTGAAAAACAGAGGCAGGCAGCCCTTTATTGGATACATCTGATCCCAACTGGCTGTGGTAACTCCTTCTCTGCTGATAGGGAAGAGCCCTTCAGCATTCTATAGCCTAGACGCGCGCACGCACACACACACCCTTCCAATAGCCTCTTGCAGTGCTGTGGAGCTGCTGCTAGGCTTGCTACAGCTTCTTTCTAGGACTCCCTCCCATTCCTTTGCTTGCTGCCCCTTGGGGGCCCTACTGCCTTGCTCTTCAGAGAGGGAGTGAGGGATCCCCCCATATCTACAGTTGAAACCACCTGCAAGTTCCTTCCTGGCTGCCTGCTGTTGCTGTCTCTGCTGCTGCCTTGGAGGGGAGGTAGAGGAGGACCTTGGCTGCTGAAGGAGTGTGCAGAAATCCTGCAGGACTCTCTGCAGGGGGCTTACTGCTGGATTGAGTAACAACAATGGGGGGGACTTGTGGTGGGGAAACGGGTTGTGTGGTACACTCCCCTAGTCTGATCTGCACTCCCACCTACCATCTGCCTCTGCTCCTCAGTCCTGGCCTCAACTGCTTGCATCAACTTTTTCCACATTTGAAATTGCCAGTGGCAGCCACATAGACTGAGATTGCAAGCACATATGGACACACATGCCTTCCTCTTCCCCTTGAATTGGTTCTTCCCTCTCCTGCTGCTTCTGACTGGTGGAGCCTTGCTGTTGGACAGTTGTGGGGCTTGGGCCTGTCTCTGCCCTCCATTCCTCACACTTGTCCCTTCTGGATCTTTAACAGCTCTCAGCAGAGCTAGTTACTGTTTGCTGTTAGTGGCAAAGGTCGAATCAGAGAATTTAACCCAAGCCTGCATGGCAAATTTATTAGGAAGGAATTAAGTTCCTCTCCTAGTCCCACACAGTGCCTGCTTGGCAAACAGGAAAAGTGGTTAACAGACAGCCCCTTTCTCATATGTTCTTCTCCGTTTTCTGGTCTGATCCCCCACAGCAAGACTTTGGTTGCTCTGAAAGCCCCTTGATTCACAGTTCCATAAAGCAGACCATCACTGTCTTCTTCAGGTGCTTAAATTAATGGATCCCCACCACCAATTTACTTTGCTTGAGTCTTCTACTCTCTCCCCAAAAGCGGCGAGGAGTCCTGTGGCACCTTATAGACTAACTGAAGTACAGGAGCATAAGCTTTCGTGGGCAAAGACCCACTTCGTCAGATGCATGTAGTGGAAATTTCCAGAGGCAGGTATAAATATGCAGGCCAGAATCAGGCTGGAGATAACGAGGTGAATCCAATCAGGGAGGATGAGGCCCAGTTCTAGTAGCTGATCTGGAGGTGTGAATACCAAGAGAGCAGAAGCTGCTTTTGTAGTTAGCGAGCCATTCACAGTCTTTGTTTAATCCAGAGTTGATTGTGTCAAACTTGAAGATGAACTGTAGCTCAGCAGTTTCTCTTTGAAGTCTGGTCCTGAAGTTTTTTTGCTGCAGGATGGCTACCTTTAGATCTGCAATTGTGTGTCCAGGGAGATTGAAGTGTTCCCCTACAGGTTTTTGTATGTTGCCATTCCTAATATCTGATTTGTGTCCATTGATTCTTTTACGTAGGGTCTTTCCAGTTTGGCCGATGTATATAGCAGTGGGGCATTGTTGGCACATGATGGCATATATTACATTAGTAGATGTGCAGGAGAATGAACCAGTGACAGTATGGCTGATCTGGTTAGGTCTTGTGATGGTGTTGCCGGTGTATATACATGGGCAGAGTTGGCAGTTACTAATTTTTACCTAATTAGTATTTTTGGAAAGAGCTAGGAAGGGTGGTACCCCAAATCACCCCTCTTTTACTCATCAGTCATTCACCTTGGCTTATGCATGACCTTTTGCTGTGAGATTATGATGACTAAGTCAGCTTGTGTTCCATGCTGGAACTTCACTTATATGATTAAGTTTGCAGATGACACCAAACTGGATGGGGTTGCAACTTCTTTGGAGGATAGGGACATAATTCAAAATGACCTTAGCAAGTTAGAGAAATGGTCAGAGGTAAACAGGATGAGGTTTAATAAAGAGAAATGCAAAGTGCTCCACTTAGGAAGGAACAATCAGTTCCATACATACAAGATGGGAAGCGACTGTCTAGGAAGGAGCATGGCGGAAAGGGATCTAGGGGTCATAGTGGACCACAAGTTGAATATGAGTCAACAGTGTGATGCTGTTGCAAAAAAAGCAAATATGATTCTAGGTTGTATCAACAGGTGTGTTGTAAGCAAAACTCATGAAGTCATTCTGCCGCTCTACTCTGCACTAGTTAGGCCTCAGCTGGAGTACTGTGTCCAGTTCTGGATGCCACATTTCAAGAAAGATGTGGAGAAATTGGAAAGGGTACAGAGAAGAGCGACAAGAATGATTAAAGATTTAGAGAACATGACCTATGAAGCCAGGCTTCATGAACTGGGCTTGTTTAGTTTGGAAAAAAGAAGATTAAGGGGGGGACATGATAGCGGTTTTCAAATATCTAAAAGGGTGTCACGAGGAGGAAGGAGAAAATTTGTTCCTCTTGGCTTCTGAGGACAGGACAAGGAGTAATGGGCTTAAAGTGCAGCAGGGGAGGTTTAGATTGGACATTAGGAAAAAATTCCTAACTGTCAGGGTGGTCAAATATTGGAATAAATTGCCAAGGGAGGTGGTGGAATCTCCCTCTCTGGAGATATTTAAGAACAGGTTAGATAGACATCTGTCAGGGATGGTGTAGACGGAGCTTGGTCCTGCCTTGATGGCGGGGGGCTGGACTCGATGACCTCTCGAGGTCCCTTCCAGGCCTATTATTCTATGATTCTATGCCAGACTCCGCATGCAGATGTCCACTGCAGATGTAGTTGGCTCAAGCCTACAACCCCTCCTTTCATGCATGGGACAAAGTGATGGCAGTTCCCCCAAACATCCTCCGCTCTCTGGACTTGTGGACCCAGTAGGAGAGGATCTGTGCCAGAGTACCATTCTCCAGGCTACGACTGACCATTTGACTTGTGACAGACACGTCAGACACCAGTTGAGGCGCCCACCTCTGGGACCTGCAGACACAAGGTATGTGGACAAGGGACAATCTCTACCTGCATATCAATGTCAGGGAGTTGCGAGCTGTTTGCCTCATGTGTACGGCCTTTCTCCCTCAACTCGGGGCATTTGGTCCTCATCCTTTCCGATAACACGTCGGTGGTCACATACATCAACAGGTAGGGTGGTGCCCACTCTCCTCACCTGTGTTGGGAAGCCCTTCACCTGTGGAATCTCTGCATTGGAGCAGGTATTCACTCAGTTGCTGCCTACCTCCCGGGCTTCCAGAACATCATGGTCAAGCACCTGAGCAGGTCATTCTCCACTCACGAATGGGCCCTCGGGGGATGTGGCCCTAGATATCTTTCTCAGGTGGGGGTTTCCTCATCTGGACCTGTTTGAGATGCATCAGAACAGGAAGTGCCCAGGGTTTTGCTTCCTCATGGGCCTGGGCTGGGGTTTCCGAGGGGATACACTGCTAATCCCCTGGCCCATTTCCCGCCTTTTCCACTAGTTCACAAGGTCCTCCTGAAAGTGCGGGAGTTCAGGGCATCCCTGATCCTTATCGCACCAGCATGGCCCAGGCAACATTGGTCTGGGGGGTCCGTGGGCCTTGGGGCTTACAGGGGTCTTAGCTCGTCCTCTCTCCTGGGTCTTGTACCTGCTCCCATGCTTGGCTCAAGGTCTGGTCTTCCCTTTGCGCTCTCATGAAGTTGCCCTCCACTTCCAGGGTTTCGACTTCCTCCTCCCAGGCCGGGTGATCTCCCCTGGCCGGCGGCAGGTCCATCGCTTGGCTCGGGGTCGGCCTCTCTTCCCTCCCTAGACTCTTGCCTTGGGCGTCCTCCTCCAGGTCGGGAGAAGGGGTACCAGGCCCTTGTGCCAACTGCTGACCCCACTCTCGCAGCACCCTGCCTAGGCCTCTCCAGTCTCGGCCTAATATCACGGGGTAGGCTAATGTCGGGACAAACCCCACGCTGTAGACCCCAGCATCCCGGCCATCATCTAGCTGTACCCATGCTGTCGGGTAGGCCCGTACGTCCTCGTGTACAGACAACTGGATGGTGGCCCCTGCTGGCTCTGGGTTGGGTATTAGGTCTGCCCTAACTAGGGTCTGGCTGCACCCTGAGTCCACCAGCGCCACCGTGGGGTTCCCCTCTACCCTGAGTCTCACCATCATTTTGGCTTGGTCCGTTGGCCCCATTCTGGGCTCCGCAGTCAGTGCTTGCCCAAAGGGGCAGACCATGCGGGGCTCCTCCTTTCCCTGGGCCCACAGCTGGCCCACGACCTCCCGCTCCCAGCGGTCCTGTCGCTCTCGTAACCTCGCCAGCTGCCTCTGCAGTTCGGTCAGGTACCCCTCTTGCTGCTGTTGCCAGGTCAACAACCATCCCCTCCACCTCCGGGGCCCTTTTCGCCCGGATCTACCAACCCCCTTTGCCAGCCCCTCTGCCCAGGGATGGGGTCGATTGCCCACGTTCTCCACCACATGTCGGGGGCCTCCCCTCGCGCTTGGGGTTGCCGCCCTCATCCGGGGCATAATCCGGCCCGCTCGGGCATAGGCCCGAAGCGCGATGCCCTTTTTTAGGGGAAATATGGCCTACTGGCCTAGTCTCAAAGTCCACTGCCCCTGCAGTAGTGGAAATACAGCCTCCCGGCCTAGTCCTCAATACGCAGGCCCTGAAGCCTAGTCCTTTAGCCCAGCCCCACTCGCCGGGGTCTAGGGCAGCAGGGGTAGGGGGGCCCGGGCCCTCCCCCTCCACCGGGCCCCGACCCAAGGCCCTATTAGCAGCAGGTGGCTCCCACCACTGGCTCAGCGGGGGTTCCTCCCCACAATGCACCGAGCCCTCAGGGGCTTTTCCAGCTCCCTGCCCTGGGTCACTTCCTGCCCCCTCTCCCAGCCTGTAGCGGTCTCACCGGTCGGCGTGAGTCGCATGGCGGTTGTGGGACTGCCCCCGCTCCCCGCCACGCCCCGACCCCGCAGGGGCTTTTCCAGCTCCCTGCCCTGGGTCACTTCCTACCCCCTGCCCCCGGCCCGTCGCAGTCTCACCGGTCGGCGTGAGTCGCGTGGCGGTCGTGGCACGTCCCCCGTCGGCATCGGGGCTGGGGGGGCGGTTGGTCCGATGCCTGGGTCACCGCGAGGGTGGTCAGCTGGCGGCTCCGTCGTCTGGGTCGAGCTCAGCTTGGGACTGGTGGATCCAGCAGCCCTGGCAATTCCCTCTCTGTCCGTCCAGTCTGCGCCGCGGGCCGTGTGGCTTTAGCTCCAGCTCTGGCTGCAGTCTCCCCTTTTGGAGCAGGCCGGCAGTCCTTTATACCCTGGTCGCCCTGGGAGCATGCCCGGTAGGGCTGTGTGGGTGGAGCCCTCTCCTCCCCCTGCACCAGGTGGCTGCCCTGGGCTTGAGTGCGGGGCGGGGCTGCTCCGTCACACCCCTTCGTTTTTGAAAAATTCTATTACATAAATAAAACGTACATTTTCCTTTTATTTTCTAACCCTTCTCCAGTCCCCCCCCCAAAAAAATTACCTCTTAAAGATCCAGATACTCTCATAGGGTATGTCTACACTACAGTACTAATTCGAACTAACTTAATTGGAATTAGTTAATTTGAACTAAGCTAATTCGAATTAGTGCATCTAGACCTAAAAACTAATTCGAATTAGCGTTTTGCTAATTCGAAATAGCATTGTCTACACTACAGCACTAATTCGAACTAACTTAATTGGAATTAGTTAATTTGAACTAAGCTAATTCAAACTAGTGCATCTAGACCTAAAAACTAGTTCGAATTAGCATTTTCAACCCCCACCCCAGACAGAGTTCTCAGGGGTTCCCCGCTCGTTTGTCTAACTTGATGAGGGACAGCAAAGCAGTCCTGGCTTGGAGTGCCCTGAATGCCAACACTCGGCACATCACAGCACTCGGCCATCAGCCCGGCTGCACTTGCCGCAGACCCCATTCCTCTCTCCCCTCCTTCCACTTACCCCTCCCTAGCCCCTCTTCCTGATGTACAAAATAAAGGACACATGTGTTCAAAAATAGAAACTCTCTTTATTGAACAAAACTGGGGGAGACTGGGAAAAGGAGGTGGGAGAGGGGAAGAGAGTGGGTGGGAGAGGGGGGGAAGGTGCAGGAGTGGGGTAT